TTCTGGGTGCTCACACTTGTTTCATTTAAGAGTTTGCCTCTCATCTATATAATATTGCGGGCTCTGTTGAGGGAAGGTCCTGTGTCTACACCGTTTGATTATATTTCTTACCTGGGTATGCATATTGAGAGCTTGGATGATGACAGTCCCGGCAATGGTCTCTCTTCTGAGAAGAATGCCCAATTTGAAAACTTTGTACATAAAGTCTGACACTTCCTTACTCATCCATAAACCTGAAGTAAGAGTTCAAGTCTGTCCTCTCTCTCTCTCTCTCTCTCTCTCTCACACACACACACACGCAGAAGTCCACAACACTCAAATGAGTGAGTGTATTGATCTGGGTCAAAAAAACTAAAAATAGTTGTGCTCTGCGAAAATGTTATTTTTAGAACTTAAATGTTTGTATCCTGAGCGATGTATGGGGATAATCATCATAAGTAGGTAGTGCAGTTCTGAGAGTAACATTTGGTCTCTAGTTTTTTAAATTGATTTGCTTGTTTCTTTTCCAGGCGTGTGGATTTAATAAGGAATTCTGGAAATCTCAAAACTTGGCTTTTATTGATCAGCTTAAGGAGGCAACAATAGAGCTTTCTAATGGGAACAATGAACTGGAGCTAGCAAGATATATGCTTGAAGATGCAAAGAACTTGAAGGAAATGGTCATACTTTATTTACCCCAGCAATCAACTCTTATTCGGGCGGTAAATGAAAGTAAGATGAATTCTGTTGCCAGAGTTATCTTTCAGGAAAAACAAAGGAAATGAAAAGGGGGGAAAAAGGAAGGTTGAAGATTTTTGAAGAATTTATTTGGGTTATAACTTCAAAACCTAATTCTGGATGTCAATGGATGCAATTTGGCTTTGTTTATCTGTTACGATAGAACCCTAATCTTGTAATGTAGTTTTTAATGCTGTTAGACAGATGTGTTGTCAATAGCCTAGAGATATGTTATTGTGTTTTGTGTATTATGTGAGTTTGCTAAGCGTAACGTAACACAAAACTGACAAAGAGTCAATCACCAATGAACTTAGTTTAGGAGAGATTATTGTATGGTAATGAAACACCGTAACATGATATTTTGTTGATGTAATAATAATATCCAAACTATAGTCTGGATGGTGATGGAAAATATGCACATACCAAAAGAGAAAAAAGGTATGCAACAGGTAAGGAAGAACTCTTGAACCTGAAGTGTTGTCTTTTGTAAGACAGAGGCTTAACAAAAACAGTTTCTGGTGTTTGTGGATTGATGACATTAGAAGGTTGAAGAGAAAAAATGTTTAGGTGTTTATGTTTGTTTTTATTTTTTCACCATTGCAATACAGTTTATTTCTGGTGTCGTAGTTGGATTGTTTATTCCCAATCAGCTTTAATTAATTATTCTACAAACAAAAGAAATCAAGCCCAATACCAGCTTTAGTTAACAAGTTTGCATAACAAAATATCAAATTTATAGCACAGTTCAAACGTTACATAGTTCAAATATAAAGAGCAATAATTAAGCATTAACAAGAAAACAGTGAGGCACCACATGGTGAGGATCATTGAGTTCTGCAATGCGGTGTAGCTAGCGTAGACGGCCATAGGAATATTGGGGCTGCTGAAGTAGATCACAGAAAGAAAAAAAACATGATTTCACCCTAAAACAATATAACCTGCTACAAGTAAACAAAGTAAAGATATATCAAATTGATTTGATTTTATAATATATTCTGTTTCAGCGGTAGCATTGCATATGGATTATCATTTCTTACCTCATCTCTTAGTTCTCTGAATTCCCTCAGAGTTCTTTGGATTGTCACGGTTGATTATGATCTCTTTCTTTTGGCCAGTGGACTTATCGACAGCAGAGACACTCAAGATGCCATCGGGATCAATTTCGAAGAAAACATCGAATTCATGAACATGTTTGGGAGCTGGAGGAATGTCACGGATGCTGCATTCAGCCAAACAGTTGAGATTTGCTGGTATGCTACTGTCACTCTCATATATGGGAAAGTTCATGAGAACTTGGTCATTCGTAGCAGTGCGCAATTCCTGTTTCTTCTTCGCGGGAATTAGAGAGTTTCTTGGAATCAACTTTATGAACTTCTTATCTGCAACCTCCACACCAAGTGCCAGAGGAGTGACGTCCTTGAGAGTGTAGTCCTGAAAAAACTCCCCCTTTCCATTCCCAGTCAAGGCTGCGGCTTGAACTGCAGCTCCATATGCCACTGCCTCATCCGGATTAACGCCCTTGCACAGCTCCTTCCCCTTGAAAAACTCCTGTAATAGATGTTGCACCATGGGAATTCTAGTAGAGCCACCAGCAAGAACAACATCGTCGACACGGCTTACGTCCATGTTAGCATCCCTTAAGCACTTCTTCACAGGCTCCATACACTTGGTAAATAATTCCCTGTTTAGTTGTTCAAATATGGCACGAGTAAAAGTTATGGTGAAATCAGTATTCTCACACAAACAGTCAATTTCAACGTCAATGCCAGACTCAAATGAGAGCCTCTTCTTTGCCTTCTCACATTCATTTTTTAACCTCCTAAGAGCTCTCTTGTTTCCACTAACGTCCAATTTATGCTCCCTCTTGAATTCCTGAACACAGTAGTTCACCAATCTGTTATCGAAGTCTTGGCCGCCAAGGTGAGTGTCTCCAGCCGTTGCCTTGACTTCAAAGTCACCAGAAGTGCTCATGGAAAGCAATGACACATCTAAAGTACCACCACCCAAATCAAATATCATCACGTTTCGTGGGCTACTCCAACCGGCCTTCTTGTTAAGGCCATAATCAATGGCAGCAGCACTTGGTTCGTTCATAATACGCAACACGTTTAGGCCAGCAGAGATGCCCGCATCTTTTGTAGCTCGGCGCTGCGAGTCACTGAAGTAAGCAGGGACCGTGATAACTGCATTTTTCACAGTTGAACCCAAGTAGGTCTCGGCAATCTTCCTCATCTTTACCAGAACCATGGATGAGATATCTTCAGCAGAATATTGTTTCTCTTGGCCATTGTGGGTGACCACAATCAGGGGCTTGTCACCTGGACCTTCAATGACCTTGAATGGCCAGAGCTTCACATCACTTTGAACAGAGGCGTCACTGAATCTCCTACCGATTAACCTCTTTGTATCTGCAAATGGATGCCAAGTTCTATCAGATAGCACGAGTTTAAGTAGGTGTTTAACATAATAGCTTATTAACCACCATGGTAGGATCTTACTGAGAGTTAAGACAATTTTAACTTCCTCAAAAAATTCTTAAACTACAATTCATGCAAACACATATTAGCTAGCTCTGACAGTAAAAGTCAAAATCAATTAGATTTGTTGATTCACAATCTAGCTGCTAGATAGCTTAGAAAAAGTGACAATTTCATATATACACTTATGATTATAGTTCTAAGTGAATAAAATTAAAAAGGAGACCGTAAACATGCAGTTTAATCCTGCATATGAATATGATACGTACCAAAGATGGAGTTGGGTGTGTTTCTGACCACTTGGTTAAATGCTGCATCACCTACCAAATTAGTCTCATCAGTATCAGTGAAGGCAACATAAGATGCAGTCTTCCTGTTCCCGTGATCGTTCAGTATAACCTCTACATGATCCTTGTGCCACACAGCTACGCGGGAATAGGTAGTTCCCAGATCGATCCCGATTGCGTACTCTTCTTTTTCTTGAGGAGGAGAGGCAGGAGAAGCATGTCTGAGTCTTAATGTGCTCTGTGGATCCAGACGCATTTCCTCTTTCAACAATAAGTCGCACAACGCATCCCAACCACTTACTGGACAGTGTTCTATCCTTGCACGAACGGGTTTGTACTCCTCTGGTAATCCCACCAGGATGTGTACATGGAGGAGGTCTTGATATTCCACAGGAGCACCGGCGGCTGCAAGATCGTTCGCCACCTGTTTGATTTTTTCCAGATAGTTAGCCATCGGAATGGTGGGATCTTTCTTCACTCTGTGTAGATAAGATTTAAGCTGATAGATGCGAGCATGAGAGAGACGGTCGAAGTGTTGCTCAAGATTTAGCCAGACCTTTCGTGAAGAGTCAGCTCGGGCCATGACTATTTGTTGGAGACTTCCAGATAGAGTGGCTTTCATCCAATTCAAAGCCTGTTGATCTCTGTCGAACCAACCCAAACCCTTTTGATCACTGCCGGACCAACTACCAAAGGTAGACTCAAATAGCCAAGGACGAGGCTCTGTTCCATGAATGATTCCAGAAAGATTGTGGTTGTCAAAATATGAAAGAGAGAAAGATTTCCACTGTTGATAGTTATATATATCACTCGTAAGTTTGATTGGAACAGGAAATGGTGGCATGTTCTCTAGGGCCATGGGAGCTCCAGCAGACTGGCTAGAAGCAGAAGTTGATAAGTTGATTGTAGCAGCTTCAACCGCCTCTCCTTCCAAAGACCAAACGTTTAAAAAAATATACAATCATCAGAAATTTTATCTTCTTTTTTTTTCCTGCTTAGCCAATAAATGGAGAGGAGATAGAGGATGATCAGAAAACAAAAATACTCGCCTTGAAGAAGAATCGGGTAGTACAGATGACAATGGCAAGGGGAAGGTTATGGGAAAATTTAAGGGCGTATATATTAATGGGGGGAGAGAGAATGATCAGGAAACCAAAAGGAAAAAATATAATTAGTGATATTTCCAATGAGTATGAGAAAATTATGACATATTTTTGCTCACCACTTCAACCCAAGGTGTGCTATAATCATCATTTTCAACGCTTGACTTGACATGTGTTTTTGTACATAACCATGGTTAACTATTTGGTTTGTATTTAGGTAACCAAGGTTATACTCATGGACACACGTTAAGTGTTGATAGAGGTGATGATGGTACACTTGGATTAAAATAGTGAGTAAAAATGCACTCGCAAAAATATTTCCTTTTATTAATTACTGATTTATTTAAGATAGAGAAATATACATTGGGAATAGTATAGTATTAATCATGAAATTAAGCTCATACGTGTGTATTAGACTTTTCACTTCCTTCCTCCGTAAGAATTGATTTATTAGACTTTTCACCTCCTCTCCGTGTATAAATTTTCTTCCACATCTGGTTTCTGCACTTATTTAACTTCCTTGTTACTATTTGACATTCTTCTTGGAGCTTTTGAGCCGAGAAAATTAGTAATGGCAGAAGATAGCCATGCAATTGGGATCGATCTGGGGACAACATATTCGTGTGTGGCAGCGTGGCAGGCTGATCATGTAGAAATCCTGGTGAACGATCACGGTAACAGGACAACTCGATCTTATGTTACCTTCACTGATAATAAGAGGTTGGTAGGTGATGAAGCATTTAACCAAGTCGGAAGGTTCCCCGCCAACTCAATCTTCGGTAAAAATAAAATGATATGATAAATTATACTTAATTGTTTATTTATTTGTTTCCTTATCCTGACATAAGAATCTAAACTGGGAAATGATTTTACAGATGCAAAGCGGTTAATTGGTAGGAGATTTAGTGATGAAATTGTTCAAAATGATATCAAGTGCTGGCCATTCAAGGTCATTGAAGGTCCGGCCGACAAGCCCATGATTGTGGTTAACCACAAGGGTGAAGAGAAACAATTTGCTGCTGAAGACATCTCATCTATGGTTTTGGCAAAGATGCGGGAGACTGCCGAGTCCTACCTTTGCTCAAAGATTTCTGAAAGAAATGCAGTTATCACTGTCCCCTCTTACTTCAACGACTCACAGCGTCAGGCTACCTTAGAGGCTGGCAAACTAGCCGGCTTAAAGGTGTTGCGTATCATCAACGAACCAACTGCTGCAGCCATCGCTTATGGAATTGACAAGAAGGCCGGTTGGTTTAGTAAGAGAAATGTGATGATATTTGATTGGGGCGGCGGTACTTTGGATGTGTCACTACTTACCATAGGCCATAATGTCTTTGACGTGAAGGCCACTGCCGGAGACACTCACCTTGGCGGTGAAGACTTGGATAACAGAATGGTGAATTACTGCGTGGAAGAATTCAAGACAAAACAAAACGTAGACATTGGTGGAAACGCCAAAGCTCTTCGGAAGGCCAAAACTGCGTGTGAGAAAGCAAAGAAGGCACTTTCATTTTCCTTTGACACTGATATTGAAATCGACTCTTGGTATAAGGGTGAGGATTTTCATACAACTTTCACCCGGGACAAATTTGAAGAACTGAACATGGACATCTTCAACAAGTGCATGGAACCTGTGAACAAGTGTTTGGAGGATGCCAAAATGGACATAAGCGAGGTCGATGACGTTGTTCTTGTTGGTGGGTCTTCTAGAATCCCCAAGGTTCAAGAGCTATTGCAGGAGGTTTTCAAGGGTAAGGAGTTGTGCAAGAGCATTAATCCCGATGAGGCCGTGGCTTATGGAGCCGCTGTTCAAGCTGCAGCCTTGAGTGGGAACGTAACTGGGAAGCTTCAAGACTTCACTCTCTTGGATGTCACCCCTCTATCACTTGGATTGGAGTGTGAGGAACGAGATAGTTCCAGATTATACATGAATGTTGTGATTCCAAGAAACTCAACAATTCCGGTGAGGAAGACAACAAGTGTAACTACTAGTTATGACTACCAAGAGGCTGTCAACTTCTCCATTTATGAGGGTGAAAGTAGCATAGCCAAAAATAATAATTTTTTAGGTGAATTCACCCTCCATGGTGTTGTGTAGATACAGCTGCACCAAAATGGATTCAGTTGCATCCTCAACTTGTGATACTCGCAAGTGCACGAGCCGTTGGTAGTTTAGCATATGTAAGTGCGAGGTCGATTCCACAGGGATTGGTGATTGAATGATCCAATTTAGTTTCCCTACACAAAATAGAAACAAAAACAAAGAACATAAAACAAGGAAGAAAGAAATAAGTAACTCAAGCAAATAAGTTCCCAAGTTCAATTTAGATTAATGGATTGATTCTAGCTAAAGTATGATTAAGCCATGGTGTGTGGTCATAACCTTGTGTTCCTAATTCCCTAATTTGATCATTTGTTGTCTAACCTAAAATTAAGCATTAGGAACCCATTAAGCATAGAAGAACATTTTAAACAACCAAGTATGTATCTAATCCCTGTTGTCGAATGTCCATACATACTCTTCCTATTCATAGTTCAATTCGAATTAAAGCATGGTGTATACTCTTAATTCAAACCAAGATAGCTAACACGCAAGCCTAAATGGTGATCAATCATTCAAACTAGCATATTAAATTATAAGCATAATGAATAAGAACAAAAATCATAATTGAAACTTGGAAACGAATCAAACTTGAAACTAAAGAAAAGAATTTACATAACAATGAAAATTAAAGTAGAACTTGGAAAGACTTAAAGAGAATTTCAGCACAAATATTTCATTACAACAATTGAAAACTAGAAAATGAAACTAAGAGAACTTGGGGGAGAGAAGGGAAGGGAGCTCTAGAGAAGTGTTTGAGAGCTCCCCCCCCTTGGGGTGTAATTACAAGCTTAGAGAACTTCCCTATTTATAGGCCTAGGGGAAGTGAAAAATCTGAATTCAAAATGGCTAATGCATACAACACTTGTATTATAAAATATTGAATTGGTTGATGCACTTGTATTAGAAAATTTGAATTGGTTCCTGCACTTCACCAATAAATCCCACCAGCAGCCCTAGCTCATCTTCATGCCACCATGACCAAGCTTCCAACCAGAAATGATACCTCATACCTAGCTCACCATGACCAAGCATCCAACCAGCACATGCTAAGGTCAGCATGACCAGCAACTTCAAGGGCTTACAAATTGGGATTCACTTAAGCAAATGACGACTTTAAGATGTCCTTTGTGAAGTTCAGAATGTGTCTGATCCAACCACACAAGTATTGGCCCAATCCAAGCTCGGATGAAGAAGTTAAGGCCAAAACAAATTGCTAACTCATTTTCCGCGCTGATAAAATCCATCCTGAGCATGGCTCTGTGTTTGCTAGGTAACAGACTCCACAATTATCCA